AATAGAGATTTCATCAGCTTATTTTGGTTGCATTTTCCAGTTTTTAAAAACGTTAGATAATCTTCCCCACAGTCCCCAAATCCTAATTTTGTAGACTTCATTGGTGTTGAACCAGTGCTTTCTGACATCCCAATACTTTGTATATGCATTCTTTTCAGATGTATTAGACACTCCCCCCACCCTCCAAAAAAACCTTCATACACACACACAAATTGCTGCTTCTGTGGGGAGGTTCCAATCCCAGTTATCACAAGAGGAAATCTTTCACACCCCTCTGACATTTGAAAGCTTCTCAGAAAAACTTCCCCTCCTCCCCACAAAAAAGGAAATAAAAAGTGTAAATAACCTTTGTCCACTAACTGAAGACAATATAGAATTAAAGCTGCTCAACTCTTCCCCGATGTGCCCAGGTTAGGTATGTTTCTTGGAATGCTTTTGTCAGTTTTCTGTCAGAGGAGTTCTCTCTGATTTTATCTTGTATTTATTTATCATGTTAAGCCCTTAGTGCAGTGTAGCTAGGGAATAACAAGAGAAAACTAGGAATACCAGTATGTTTATGTAGAAGAGTATGATAATTTCCCCAATAATGAAGAGTTGGTAGGTGAAATAAAGGAATTAGTGATGTGGAATTTCTTCAGGGACAGTGTGAAGAGTTACAGTGATTTCCAGACAAGAGATGACAGACAGTTGGTGACTATGGAGTGCACCATTCACTGGTTATAAAATCCTAACTGCTTTCTCTCAAAATTGCATAGGATTACGTAGCTTCTGCATTCTGATTGTAAAGCCTGCTGGACTATTTTACTGGACTGTAAATTGTTCTGACTATACTTCATGCCTGATAAAATCCTTACATTTATGTTAGTAAGCGTAAGCCTTTGTTCTGTAACTAATCTTTTAAGTTTTCTTAAACAGAGAAACCTTGAATTTTTTTCCTAGAAAATGGCGTGATTAAAGGTGTACTATTCTTTGAAAATAGGCTAGCACAGTTAAGGATTTTGGTCAAACTAACTTTGAAACTACTCTTGAGTTCTACTGTATAGGATATATATATATATATTCATACATACATATATGCACATATATGTACACATATATTTAATATATAAATTAGTAGATATATATATAAGCATATCTATATAAACATATCTATATGTACTAATTTATTTCAGCCTGGAATTCAAGAGGAATAAATATAATAGTTTAACATTCCAGTAGCAGTATAATTGTAGATATTGGGTAATACTGAGGAATGCTTTCTGACTTAAATACAGGCTTAAATATATCATTATTGACTGTGTTTACTGCCTAGACAAAAATATGTTGACAGTTAGATTAAAGTGTTCTTTATGGGAGATGGAGAGGTACAATGAATAGGCTATGGACTTTAGAGCCAGCTATATCCATTCAGTTTTCAGCTCCATGTCTTCTGAATTTTGTATTCTTGCTTGAGGTCAGTTTTCTTGAGGAACATACACTGAGATGGAGGTTTTTATGCAGGGAGTTTGTTGAGGAGTGTGTTTGGGATCAATATCATTATAGGTGTGTCGGATGGAGAAAAGGGGGCTCTGGTCTTTGTACCCATGTATTGATCAGTCATTAGATGTAAGTTGCCTGTAGGATGAATTATCTAGGGTAGAGCAGTTCCCTTTGGTGGAAGAAAGAAAATTCCCTGTGGTGGAAGGAGGGAAATTCTGGTGTAAGCCACCAGAAGCCAACCCTTGTCCTGAAGAGGGGTCTGGGTAAAGTTGTGCAGCATTTACTCTGTCCATGCCCATGATGCTTGCCTCTTCATGTTTATATAATAAGTTTCTTGCATCTGAGAGCAGCTCCTTCAGGATTCTAGTAAGTCACCTTTCTTGGCAAAGCCTTGAAGAGGAAGAGTAGAACTACAGCCCCTGCCACTGCAGGAAGTCTCAAGGCCACAACTGATACCTATGGTCCCCTATTGTTTTCTGCCTTCTATGCCCGTTCTAGAATCCCCTCATCCTCAGCCAGCACCCTAGTGCTCTATGTTGCTTACTTTGGGGATGGAACAGGCCATTACTGAGGGGTCCAAACCCCTCCTCACTCTTCCTTTCTTCGGTCTTGGTTATGGCGCTTGTCCATATATTTTCAAAAATAGGGAACTACTAAGAAATTCCCTATGAATCACCTGGATACTAGAAATTCTTCCCCATCCTCATTGTCTGACAGCAGCCCTACCTCCTCCTGATGATCAGTTATCCCTGCCAGGACGGTGATTCCTCTCCTTTCTGCCCATCTCCTGGCACAGGGAACCCTAAGGGATTGGATGTAAGGTATATCCTAAAGTTTAATGAGACTCTTACTTGTCCTCTCACAGAAGCATTCTCTCTTTGAAAAACAGGATCTCTCGATTTGCAGAGACTTAATTTGTGGGACAGAAAGCACGGATTCCCCACTTACACCACTGGAAGTGATGCTGATTTTGACCACTTCTACTTCCTCCTCTTGGTTCTTACGCCCATGTATTCTATCTATCGTGTATGCAGCCCCAAAGAATGCTCATCGATTTACTGTGTTTAGCACATCCTTTATCCCATCATTGCAGGATATCATCTCCAAGCTGGTGCTTCAGCTGCACCTCCAAAAGGCTGTTCCATATGTGTGTCAGGCCAGCAGCTGCTGGGTCATGCAGTATGTGTCAGGATGAGTGGATCCCAAGATTGTGCATCCACTGCTGATGTCCAAAGTAGTTCCATGGGTCTGAGGTGATATTTATTATCATGTCCTGATGGATCACACACTCTATAGGCCCTCTGACCCTGGGGCTGGACAAGGCCCTGCAGACAGATAAGCAAAAAATAAAGTTTAGAATTGGTTTTAGTTCTAGTCAGAATGAATCACTGCTCCTAAGGTGGAAGAGGTCCAGTGTCCTAATCAGCTTTCCATCAAGTGGCTGGTTGGTCTCCCCAAGGACAGTGCTGAAACTGAGGCTCAGCACTGACCCTTGTGACTGTTGGAGTGGAGGCAGCTCGTCAACCTTTCCATGTGTGGGGAAACAGATATGTGTTGTGTGGCCCACATGAAATAGATGAGCTCTACGGAAAGAACGAAGGGAAGGTTATTCTAAAGCTTAAGAAAGAAATGTAAGGGGAGAATGGAACTTCTTGGGCAGATCAGGAATACAGTGAAGCTGAGAGAAGGACCAGGAATATATTCTGGAAGTATTCATGCTTCACAAGGTGGTAAGCCCCTGGCTAGAATGAAGTCTACTAATAACTCACTAATTTATGTATTGATTGTTACTACTTTTTAAATTTCCCTAAATTTCTGAGTTTCCTTTTAATCCTCATTTCTTTTTTGATTAAGACCAGTCAATTTCCCAAGTTAAAGAACAGAGACCAACTTGGAAAATCTGGGCAAACTAATCACGTCAATGTGACTCCTTTTCCTTATTTGTAAAAGTGAAGTGAAAATCCTTGTCTTGAAGAGTTATGGGATTTAAAAACATATCTAGAAATTACTGTACCTGGTATGTGCTCAGTCATTGCTTCTTAATTTTGAAACAGTCCTAAAAAATCACTGCTGAATTCCTAAGGAGAAAAGGATAGGCCGGCCTTACATCCTTGTTTGGGGCACTGATTGTAGCGATTGGACAAAGTGGAAGTAAGGCAGGTAGATAAGAAGAGTCAGTAGAGATCCACCTCCCATCTACCTAGGGGCTCACATAATATGATTTTTCAGTGATTGACCTCCAATTCCATTTGGTTTTTGAAATAGTATAATTTTTGTGCTTATATATGGGTATTTGATTTGCCAGCTGTGTGGTGTTAGGTAAATTACTCCATATTTCTGAACCTTATAAAATTGGGATAAAAATATGACTTACCTCATGGGATTGGTGTGTACGTTAAATGAGAAACATGTGTGATTCACATGTAATTGTATGTAATACACATGTGTCATATACATGCCAGCCTGATTGTGCCATGCCTGCTACGTAGCAAAGATTAGCTATTATTATTATGCTTTCCCAGAATATGTATCTGAGATCCCAACAGGATATTATATTTCAGTGTTTTTCTCTCACCTCCTCATCCCTCAAAACGAACAATGACGAGAAAACATCAGTTGGGTAAATACTGCATTATCATAATTACAATTTCCCTGAGAAAAGTGACTTGCAGTTTGAATATTCAGCATCATAATTACAATTTCCATAAGGAATGTAGAACAGTTATTATAAACAACACAATAATCACTTGGTCCATAAGGGAGAACAGATTATCGGGGGAGTGAGGAGGGAGAAGAAACCAAAGTCTCTGTTCTAATCAGTATTCAAGAGTAAAAATACAGAACCTGAGAATAAATGGTAATAGCCTCTTAGAATACTCTTGTCTGAATTTATCGAACAATCTTATCATGATGGCAAATTTCCATGAGTTGATTAAGTTCTGCCTATATATTTTTTCCCTATATCTAATTTAGTTTTATCATTCTTATTAAACATCCTCCCTGTATCTTTACTCACTGTCATTCATGATTGCTGTACCCCCAAGAAATTTTGAAAAGCAAACTATCACAAAATATAAAAAGCACAAAATACTGGTTGGAAAAAAACAGTTTAAGGGAAGAAAAAGTTTTATCAGAGTATTTCTCTCTTCACAGTTAAATGTTTCCTTTGTTCAAGGAAAAAATAGGTAAAATTTTTTTTTTAACATTTTTATTGATTCATAATCATTTTACAGTGTTGTGTCAAATTCCAGTGTTCAGTACAATTTTTCAGTCATACATGGACATATACACACTCATTGTCACATTTTTTTCTCTGTGATTTATCATAACATTTTGTGTATATTTCCCTGTGCTATACAGTGTAATCTTGTTTATCTGGTCTACAATTTTGAAATCCCAGTCTATCCCTTCCCACTGAAAAAAAAAAATTTTTTTTAAATATTCTTTTTACTGCTGTGTTGCCTTAATTGGCTTTCACTTAAATTTCTTTCTTTTTTTTCCTTGTCTTTTTATTTTTGTAGGTGAGATGAGCAAAACAGAAGGCAGCTTTCAAGGTTGGTACTTTTCATGATATTTTAAAACCTCTTGTTAATATGAAGCAGAGTATGAAAGAAGCAGAGGAAAATATGTCGTTAGCTTTTCACAGATAGCGATTAGAGGATGTTATGTTTTTATTCTCCTCACTCATGGATGGAAAAGTACAACATAGATTGTTACAAAATGCAATACAGCAATCAAATATAATATCTGATTCAATGCTTGGCAAAATTGTGGAATTGGAAATACTCAATATTTTCCCACTTCATCCATTTGTCATTCCATCCATCCAACACTCACTCATATATTTGTTTTCAGTGGATATTTATTACATGTATATTGTGCGCAAGGCTCTGTCATCTGATTTTCCTTTATTCATACCTCATTTGGCTGACCTTCCCCACATTACCAATCACACACCTTTTCCAGTGCTGCTTGCTACCTCTGACAATAAACTTTCACCTATTGTTACAGGTTTTCAGTTTAACTTCCTGGATCTGATAAATGAGCAGCATTTGCACAACACTGCTCAGCTAATATGAGCTCAGGTATGTCTGCTCCCAAATAATTGGGGCAAAGATGAAACCAGCAGTATAACAATAATAAAATCACCCCTCTGTACAGGATAATAAACTATACAAGATCTTGTACTGCTGTGTGAGATGTATTACTGTATATAGATTACTGTCCTATGGTTTAGTAGAAATCTATATATTGTAATCTATATTATCAGTTACCCTTTCTCAAAATTCTAGTTACATGTCTTCTTTCCCTGTACCTCTTAAGCAGTCTTAAGACTTTCTGCCCAAGAACGAGTGTGTTACTACTGTTAATTTTAAAACAAGCAAAGCGTTCCAGACACACAGGAAATGGCTCTTTTTAAGAATGGCAGTGGTAGATTGAAGCAAACTTCACAGGAAGCAAAGACTGAAAATTTTCTGCTGAGCAGTGGTTAGTAAATGGAAATTAATAGAATTCTCCTTGTACTAACTAAAAGATGGATAAATATTATTTTTATTTGGGGGTCTGTTTTATTGTTTTGGTTTAATGAACATTATTACACTTTAAAAAGGCTTTCTCAATTTCCTTACTGATATTGATTTACCCTAAAGCACTTAAACAAAAATCTTGAGGTCTTCAGCAGAAAATTCTGCTACCAGAGGTGTTTTCAGGAACATAACTGTCCTAATTGGGAAGGGACTCTTGTGACTATCTGCCGATCTAATTTAATTTAACTAATTTAATCCAAAACAGTCTAAATTATCTCAGCCATCAATCTAGGTAATTATAATACTTACTAGGAGACAGTGAGTGGTGATTGAGAAGTTGGGCTCTTAGACTCAGAGTGCCTGAGTTTGAATCCTATTTACCCATATACTCTTGTGTGTTGGACCAGCGTCTTAACATCTCTAATCCTTGTTTCTTCTGTTGTAAAATGAAAGGTATAAGAATACTTGCTTCATAAGCTTGTTGGGGAATAAAGAAGATGATGTATTTACAAATCATTCTGACATATTGTAAGAATGCAGTAAATGATAGTTGCCATTATTATCACTTGACTAGGACTAATATTACTGTAAAGCATTATTGTTAGAGGCAGGCGACATCTTCACTTGCCTGGAATAAACTTCTCTCACGGACTTGATCTTTCATATTTCGCCATCAGAGATGTATTCATTCTAGGGTAATATTTTGTCCCATGTGAAAATATAGGTAGCGTGGGATTGTCTATCAAATTGTGAAATCTTGTAGCCAACTGCATCTACTTTTTTTCTAAGTACAAGATTTTGATAAATATCAGCATATCACCAAAGTGAGGGAAGTAAACCATCTGAGTGACTGCGGAGGGGAGAAGAGAATCAGGAGCAGCGAGGAGAGAGTCAGTGGAAGGAGAGGTTGGTGACAACTTCCAAATCTTGCTCAGATGGAAACTAGCATTGCCTGTGCTTTGTGTGCGGGAGTCCCTTTGTTCATGGTGATGTGAGGGCTGATTGATGGAGGGGATGCTGCTGCAGATTGGTGGGACAGGAAGCGTTCAGGAAAGGTTGGGGGTCATTCTTCCATGGCAGTAAAAGTGGTAGGAAATCTGATGGGCAGAGTGAGAGAGCAGTATAAAGGGATGCAACTAGAGCCCCTTCTGCTCAGTGAGATCTGTAGTGTTTTGCATACGTATTATTCATGTATATTAGAGTCGAAGAGGAAAGCCATCCCTCAGTTGAAAGTGGTCAGTGACCTCAGACCAGATCACCAATATGCAGTCATCCAACAGCAGCTTCTAAGTGCCTGAAGCTCATGGTGAGCCCAAAGGCAAGGGGTCTGAGTGAAAAGATCTTACTTTGTTCAGTCTCTCCCAGTGACTCAACAGGCACTCCAAAGTCCACTAGATTGATGGCATAACGAAGGGAGATTTGCTATATTCACACACAAGCCTCTGGATTCATTTTGACACATATTGTGGCAAGTGTGTTAAATGGAGACTTTCTATTGGGAAAGAGCCTCCTCTGATCCAATGGAAAAAATGGCACTTGTAATTCAGTGTCATAGAAATGACCAGGTATATCGTAATCTGAGTAAACAGGATAGTACTGAAATGTCTTAATCTGGCCCCTGAGACAGCAAGATTCAAAACCTAGTTTGTCAGCATACCCAGATGAAGGGGTAGTGCAGCTCTGCAGTGGCAAGTGTTCTCATCTGTAAGGGTCTGAAGCATCACTGGGCTTACCCGGAATTATGGTCTTCACGTGCGACTCTCTAGTAAATGGTAAAGCAATTATCTCTAGTCTTGTGAAAAGTACAGTGCTTAAGAAGAAAAAACTCATGATGACTTCAGACCCACCTCCAGGACATACTTACATATTTGACTGAACCTGCCTATGACACTCATTCTGTCCCTACAACATCCCATGGGCTCACTGTCACTTATATACACTGTGGATGTTTCTGATAGCTTGTGTTAGCCACTGTTAGTCTACTCGTGCTTGTCTCACGAAAGGAAATCATACTTATAGACTTGTAGATCTAAAAGGTACTATATTATGCATTTTAGCCTTTTCTTCCTTCAAATAATGGAATTCAGGCCCACAGAGGTCAAGCAAAGTTTCCTAAGTCATGGAGTGTACCAGGAACCAAATAAGGACCACAGTCACATTGCTTTAGTCCCTCCTTACCATGAACCGTCCCAGATTGCTTAGTGAAGAAGGTAGGAAGTCTTGGATGGAAACTATTTCTGAAACCCTACATTCTGTACCATCTTCTTGCCTGAAATTGTTACTCATCTTCTGTTGGTTAAGCACTTCTGAAAGGGTCTTTCTTCCCTACTTTATCAAGAGTTCCATAAGGGTACAGCTCATGGCTACAATTTCTTTGTATTTTTACCATATGTATAAGGTTCTAAATAAGTAAATGCTGTGTCGTTTATTTCGATTCTAAACCTTGTCAAGAACACTGAACCCCCACCCTTCTTCCAACTCAGTGAATTCTGTTTACATTATTTTAGAAGACCCTCCTCCCTCCAAAAATCAAAATCACTGAAGGTAACCAGAAAGCAAACCAATATGGTTGGGTTTTGCATTTGGTTTGGGGTTGTTTTGGTTTTTTTCCAACTCTGCTATGGGAGTTGAGGAGTAATAAATGTATCAAAAATCAACTCATTGAAATAATGTGTACTTGCACATGTGTATATTTTAGGACGTGAGTGTAGGGAGAGTGGTCAAAAAGAAGCATTTAATCCATTCCATTTAGCTGGAATTACTTGGGCTTAATGGCTTGCAAGCTAAACCATTAGAGGGGCGAGTAAGGGGAGAGAATGCCTATTGAAAATACAAATGTATATTTGAGCAGATAGCAGGGAGAGTCCAGAGGCTCATTTTTTTTTTTAATACAGAAAAAGTTTACAAATTTTAAAAACTAATTTCCTTTTTGTTACAGATTCTAAATCTAATTTCCTTTTGTCCTTCCTGTGTATTTGAAAATAGGATGTAGGCCTTATTTCCATATCAGAGTTCTTTAATATTCTCACACTGGGAGTGTTGTGTTTAGATGTGAGCACCACGAATTTAGAAAGCTATTAAAAAACCTATTTTGCCCTCCTTCTAAATAGAATGTCATTCAAACAAGCACAGATTAGATAACGATTATTAATTATAGAGAATTCTAATATTCACTTGACTCTTTCAAAGATCATTTAAGGCGATCAGATTTATGACTCATAACAACTCTTTCTATAATTCTCTTTCTCCATCTCTCAGTGTATTCACACTGTGCAGTGTTTTGAATCTTCTCTAATGCCAAAACGTTAAACTCCCCTTAAGCTTCAGTTCTTGCATACATCTTTTTCCCATTTTATGCCCCAAAACTTTCCCTCTGTCCCTCTCACCTGTCCGATTTTATCTTGGTGCATTCTCCAGACTTTTCAATGAGAGAAACTGATAACAAAGCAGACTCTGGAAATGATAAGTATACTCACATGGTAGTAAATCTTGTCCCAGTCATATATATTCTGTATATGAACATATGTGTACATAAACAGTACATGTACATGTTCAAAATGAGGATAGCGATGGACTCAAACTTATGGTGCTAATAGAAGTGAGGCTGAGGCAGCCTACACAGTGGACAGAGCAACAGATTCATTTCCAGTTGGATCAGGTGATGAGGCAGGTAATTATTAGTAGGGTATTGCTACTGTATTTTTATAGCATTATCTGGCTTTTAAAACTATGAAGCAGTATTACCTTGAAACAAATAAAAGCTACATCTAAATGTATTTTTTAATATAAACAATTGTGCGACTTAGCTTTAACTCCTGGTCTCACCTTGGGAAGACCTTGGGAAAGTCATTTCCTCTTGTTTTTTGTTTTTTTTTTTCTGATTTGCTTGCCTATTTGTTAAGTTCTATTTTGATGTTCTTCTAAAGGAGCTAATTCAGGTGGATGATCCCAGCTTAATATGCGACACAAAGCAGGGAGTTCCCCCACATCCATTTCCATTTCCCTGTTGAAGGAGCTGAGAAGTACATTAGCTGTTTTCAAAGATCTGAAGGAGTCGCAGGTGGAAGAAAGATGTGATTAAGCCTATGGTGCCAAGTGATAATATAAGAAACCAGGAGGCTTGAGGAAACATATTCAGCTCAATATAAGGAGGAATGTGACTAAAAACATGGCACAGGTGACACGTGAGTCCCTCCGTGGTAATCTTTCCAACATAGCCTGAGGATTGTGTAGCTGGGGTGAAATATAGAGGAAATGCTAAAATTGGGACATCAAGCAGGTCATGTTCCAGGTTCTTTCCTACAGACCTGATGATGCAATGTCCTGTGTCTACTCCCGAAATGTGAAGACCACAGGGAAGCAGACTGTAGTTACTATAAGTGCAGTAACTTCGGAGATTACACGAGAAAGCAACAGGCTTTGACTGCTTTAAGCAGTAAGAAAAATATACAAAGCAGAAATGCAGCAAACTCAGCCAGATTTGACCCCAGATTTAACACTGTGACCAAGTTCAAAGACCCCTCATTGAACTTCAAGGGCAAAGTTCTAACATTTCGTTTGAAAGCAGCGCAGCTCTCCGGGAAAGGTCTGACTTGGGGCTTATATTTACAATGGAATCCATGCTTTCCTAGTCACACAGGAGCAGACCCTGATTTCTATATATCCTCTGCCTGGGAGCACCGTTCCTTTCTCTCCTCCCTCTGCCTCTAAGGCTTCTGGACTAGTCTCAAGTAGTTACATTCCCCTTAGACAGAAAACGAGAGAAAATCAAAGAGGACCCATGACTGATGGTAACTTTGCTCTTAGCTCTTGTTCTGATTCTTTAGCACTGAAAAGGAGAGTTAAACTCCCACACAGATGAAAAAACTCTACCCTAAACCACTCTTCACTTCTTTGTCTTCTCCCTGCCCTCCCCAGGTTAGCTTTCTCCCAAGTTCCTTCAGTCACCTCCTTCTCACCTGCTGCCTCTGCATCACCTCTCACCCAGGTCAGCCAGAGCCCCTTTTTAGGACAGCAGAGTGGTTCCAGGATCTTGTATCATAATATGTTGCAGATTTGCCTTCTAGTAATGGCTGTTCTTGTTTAGCTATAAAGCCTGTTTGAATGTAGGAACCGCTTCTGCAGCCCAAATACAGTTCTTAACTTTTAGCCATATGTCTATTGGCCATCCCATACCTAGGCAGTTAATTCCAGTTCATTAATTCCAATTAATTTTTCACATTATGATCCAAATGGCATTCCAAGCTTCTGTCCTGATCTTCCCCTACCAAGCTGCCTTTCTTCCAGCCACACTCAGCCCTTCACATCCTCTCTACTAAGAATGTTCTTCTGCTTATCTTCATCTCTGGTACACACTGACTAGTGGAACTCAAATATCTCCTGCCCCTCTGTGAAATCTTCTCATCCATCACTATTCAAACTTAGACAGGAATCCCTCTGTGTTTCCAGCACATTTTGCTCATATTTGTAACACTTAACATGTTGTGTTACAATTTATGTTTTTGTAAGTTTATCCTCCCTACTTGTTTTCTCAAATAAATGCATACTATTCTCTTTGGCATTCACAGTACCTAGCATAGTATGTGATTCATCACGAGAACCCGAAAAAAGTTATTTGAATGAATGAAATAAATAAGTAAATGAATGAGAATATATACTATAATGTGTGCCTTTTTAAACAATTGTTCTAGAGAATTAGTTGTTAAACGGAGAAAGCTTCAGTAGGCATCTTGAACATCTGGACAATTGTAATGCAAAATATTTCCTTAGAAGGCAAAGAGATAGTCTCTTTTCCTGTGGAAGTAGGAAAGAATTTTTGTTTCAAGGAAAATTACATTGAGAAAACTGTCTACAGTACAAGAGACGAAGTTTATATCTTCAGGGACATTCTCTTGTCTTCTTCTATTACAAGAGTAAACAAGATTTAAACCTTGCAGCCAGTGTGATGATGTGGCCAGACAGCTAATAAAGAGGAAGATTAGAGAGTTGCGTAAAATGGCAAGTGCCTGGGCAGATTCCTCGCCTTAGACATTAAATGCAGAACAAAGCGATGCTGTTTCCTGAGGACCACCAGAAGTGCTTGATGTCAGCTTCAGCAGCATGGTGCCATTTTGGCTGTGGTGTTCATCTTACCTTGTATCCCAGTTTGAAAACAATATAGAGGAAAAATAAAGCAAGCAGCAGTAGATGGTTCTCAGGATAGAGAGACAGCATCTGAAACGAAACCAAACTCTTGCAAAAAAGAATGAAAAATCATTTCTACTCAGTCATTTGCGATACAACCTTTGCTCTCATTGAATAGACTATAACATCTAATCATGTAAAACATCTCAAAGAGTCAGAGGGAGTGTACATCCTATAGCTAACTTTATGTTTCATTCTCTCAGGGAGCTTAGAATTACTACTATTTTAAGATAGAAGGGAAATGATGTGGGTGAGGGGATTTCTCCTGGTGACTCACATGACCAAGAGCAAATACACTTTACCTTTTTGTACCTAATGAACATAATTACCACAAGTATTTCCTCTTTTGAGCTTTCTTTACCAAAAAGGCATTTTCAGACCCATCTTCTATCTGGGGATAAAGGCAATGCTAGAAATGAAGCACAAAGCAAAGAGACAGGCATAGATTATACAATAGAGAAATATATGGGTTTAGAAAGGAAAAAAGGAGAGAAACATTTCTCAGCACTTACTAAGGGCTGAGCATTGTGCTAAGTGTTTTGCAAGAATAGATCATTGTATATTTTCTCTGATGTGAATAATACAAAGTTAACAAAATATCAGTGTATATAGTATAAAACATTACTGTATTATGAAAAATATGAAAAGGAATATATATATGAATAACTGAATCACTATGCCCTACATCAGAACACAGCATCGAAAACCAACTATACTTCAAATAGAAAAATAAATTTAAAACAAAACAAAAACACATATGTTGACCAAAAGATACGATTGTAGATAAAACTGATCTTCTGTGTAAGCCATCAATATCTGTAGAAGAGTTTTCCAATTTAAAGCAGAGAAACTCAAACAGCATTATCACATAATGTTGGACATACTTTTAGGTCTTAGGCTTGGGAGCCAAATCTAGGAGTCCCAATTTCTTTATAGGAGAGGAAGCTGAATTTACAATAGGGTGCAAAAAACTCCCTCACCTTCAATATATAGATATATCATATATACATAATTGCCTAATATATCCCAGTCACATATGTAATCATGTAATGAAATATTTTGTCATATAATGAGATAGTTTTAAGTGTTCATCAGCTTAAATCTACACAAAAGTAGTTGTCAACCTCAAAGATATCTGCTGAATACAGAAGTTTCAGAAATTGATCATGAAGACAGTAGTAGAATTGTTTGTCATGTACCATTTGTCTGAAATAAACATTTTTTTCAAGTGAATATACCCACGTAGTTTTGTCTAACTAGCTAATGCTGGTGAATCCACTGACTGGTGGAGATGATTAATTTGTGATCCAATCAAAAGATAAATAATATTAAATCCCTTTTTCACTTTTTATAATTGGTGGTGAGTTTCTTCATATTTCTAAAGCAACCCAAACCTCTGTTTGTTTCCTGCACCAGTCACTCTGGCTGTTACCTGCAAGCTTGCTATTGGGAGCCAAAGATAATCCAGGGCATGAGACATGTCCTCTGGTCCTAGATTGGCTCAAATTGAATTATATCGCAGCACAGGGGCTGTGCGCTGCCCCTTCTGGTGAAAAATTACTGATTCAGTCTGGCTTTCTGTTTTTCTCACACACCGTTCCTTTTCTCCATTTTCTTACCTTTGCTTAGTTAGTACTCCTTCTCAAAGGACTCTTGCTTGTGTGTCATGGTTAGTTCACTTACCATTCTTTCTCAGGGTCAGCAGAGCATAAATTCTGGAGATGAACTGCCTGGGATCAAATCCGTTTTTCTACTTACTGTGTTCATCTTTGGATGAGTTGCTTAAAATCTCTAAACTTGAATTTCTTTGTCCATAAAATGGAGACTGCATCCTCAGAGTTTTGGGACTATTAAATAGGATAATCTGTTTATCATGCTTGATGCACAGCAGATACTCAATTGGTATTATTACTGTAATTATGATTATTCTGGGATAGAGGAAGGGATGTGACAGCAGTTTCCAAACTTGTAGACTTCCTCTGCACTTTGACCATATGTTTAAAAGCACCTCCCTTGAGTTCCGACTTAGAAAATGAAATGCAACAGACATCGTTTCTTTTGCTCAAATGCTGGGAGAATTAGAACCAAAATAATGTTGTCAGAATTTAAAAAAAAAACTTTTCAAAACATTTTTTAATATATCTTAGCTGCCAGAAGAATTAGAGTCCAATTCAAAGCCAAGTGACTTTTCTTACAGGCTGTTCTTCTGTTCTTCTGGTTCTTCTGTTATTCAATCTTTGTTCTTGTTTATTTATAATTTGTGCAACGTTCATTTGTATTTGACTTCTATGTTCCCTCAGATCTTTTTGAAATGAAACAATGAAATCCTTACTCAAGTCTCCAGAAGCACTCTGCCTGTCTCTTTCTCTTTCTTTCTCTCTCTGTCTTTGTCTCAGGAGATGATCCACTTAGTTTGATCTATACCAGTTCCCAGGGAACTTTTTAAAAATTGTATATTCCCATGCCGAGCTCTAGGGAATCTGGTTCAATCCAAAGTGGAGCCAGAAATCTGTATTTTTTTTTAACAAATACTGTTCACCCAGGAAGTTAAGATTTAGGTGATACTCTGTGGCTCTTGGAGAAGCAAATAGGGAAGAGATGGATATGAGACTGTCTTCTGAACCAGACAAAATCACTGTATGTGTGACCTTTCAAAAAAATCACTCAACCTAAGATTCAGTTTCTTCATCTTTACAAGATACAGAAATCTGTAAATGTTTTATCTGATTCATAAAGTTGCTATAAAAATTAAATAATTTGTATAACAGGAAGAAAAAAATCTATTAAAAGATTAAACAACCATCCAGTTTCACAGTGTTGGAAAGAAGCAAAGTAACTTTTCAGAAGCAGATAGCTTTTTTGGTTTGAAAAATCAAGATCCTAAGCTGTGACCTCTGACTGCTCCAGATAAAATAGACATAGGAGATCTAGAATAGTGTGTTAAATCATGAGTCATCACTCATTAGGGGTTTGTGAAATCAGTTTGGTGATGCTTCAGCATTTTTTATTTTTTAAATTTAAAAAATTATTATACAATTTTTAAAGGTTACTTTCCATTTACAGTTACTACAAAATTTTGCCATATTCTCTGTTTTGTGCATCCTTGAACCTATTTCACACCCATTAGTGTGCACTTCCAATCCTATATTGCCTTTTCCCCCCCTCTCCCCACTGGTAACCACTAGTTTGTTCTCTATATCTGTGAGTCTGCTTCTTTTTCGTTATATTCACTAGTTTGTTGTGTTTTTTTTTAGATTCCACATTTAAGTGATATCATGCAGTATTTGTCTTTCTCTGTCTGACTTATTTCACTTAGCATAACATCCTCCAAGTCCATTCATGTTACTACAAGTGGCAAAATTTCATTCTTTTCTATGGCTGAGTAGTATTCCATTATATATATTTATATTTATATATAAATAAATACTATATTAAATTGTATATATAAATTTTAAATATACATTATATAAATATATTATATAAAATATATATTTATATGTATATTATATATGTGTGTATGTATGTCCATCTGTTGATGGACATTTAAGTTGCCTCCATATCTTGGCAATTGTAATTAATACTGCTATGAATATTGGGCGGGGAGCATGTATCTTTTCAAGTTAGTGTTTTCAGAGTTTTTTGGATATATACCCAGGAGTGGGATTGCTGAGTCATATGGTCATTTTATTTTTAGTTTTTCAAGAAACTTCCATACTGTTTTCCACATGACTGCACCAATTTACATTCTCACCAACAGTGTACAAGGGTTCCCCTTTCTCCAAATCCTTGCCAACATTTGTTATTTGTGTTCTTTTTGATAATAGCCATTCTGACTAGAATAGAGTGGAATGGAATAGAATCGTTATGACAGGATAGTTCAGAATAGGACAGGACAAGACAGGATGGGACAGAACAGGATTCTGTAGGATAGGATAGAAGAGGGTAATACAGGATAGAAAACACCATAGTGCATCACCCTTAGGAAAAAGAAGTTTAAATAAGCTGTCTGGTTGTTTTTGTGCTATCCTATATATCTACTTCCAACACCCCACTAGCTTATCCCTCTATATTCTGATAGTGTTTGGAAATCATACTTAGGAATGAAGACGGTGAAGTAGTGGCCAGTGGCCAGGTGAGGTAGGGAGGGAAGCCAAACAGCAAGCAGACCACATCCAGGGGTGAGCTTGTGTGTGGGAATGGGAAATATAGAGTGGAAGAACAGGGGAATATATGCATCTCTACTACCCTCAAAAACCTGGTGGAAGGCACTAGACTTTTCAGATCATGTAGAAAGAAGTTCTCGAGCAGCCTCATTAGCAATTTCTTTAAAAGAATGATCCAGAAATCCAGTGGAGGAGGACAACTAGTTTGTATAGGCAAGCTTTGTAAACTGCAAAGCACGCTGCAGAGGGAAGATAGTACTTTGTAGAGTTACTTGTTCCTTGGTGTACCCCCTACCCTCCCCTTCCCCCCTCTACTTCTACTGGAACCAAAGTCTAGGGTTATAATAAAAGATAAAGCCTTTCTCTGGCTGCTAGGTTAAAGGAGTAATGCTCTAACATCTGAAAGTGAGCTTTACAATTCATATTTTCCCATTGTAACAA